GGGTCTGAGAGAAAGAGACAAAGAGTAAGATAGTACAGATGAGATGGAGGAGAGAGAACAGAGAGAGCTCACACAACTGTTGCAGTGACTGCATCATCTCAGTGATATTTCATGTGAGAAAGGAAGCACTTTTGCTGCATTTATTTATTTGTTTAGTAGTTTGAACGTGTCTTTGATGTTTTTAAACAATGCAACTGTTTTTAGGGAGAAAATACCTTTTTTATTACCTTATTCTGTACTAAATAAGTGCTTTATTATTTTAAACTTTTTATTTTGGTTAATTTTATGTGTATTTCTTGAATGTTGTTTCTAAAAAAATCAACAGGTGTTAAAAAATATATAATTAATTTTTTTAAATATGTAATTTTTTCATTTTCATTTTTCAAAATATCTGTCATACAACTGAAAGTTATCTCATTGTGCATCTGGAAATTACTAAGTGGCTTTCATATTTAGTTATTGTCTGGGGGGATCCAAACATAATTTCCCTTCGGCTCCTCCATTAAGATTTGATATAAACCAGAATCAGTTCAGACTCAAGCTCCTCATTTCAGCCATTAGTCTAGAGGTACAGCCGCTCATGTGTGGGTCATAAGTGATACAGAGGCCAATCAGAAACCTTGTTATGCTTTTCTTAAATGAATTTAGAGAAAAGCAGCTTCTGTTAGATGCTGTTTGTAGTGAACTACAATCATGGCAAATGTCCGTCCAAACCTGCAGCTCTCCTTCATTATTGAGCAGTTTCAACAAAATACAGATACATGCATAATATGAAAACAGAACATTAGCTAATATGTGACCCTGGACCACAAAACCAGTCATAAGTAGCACGGGCATATTTGTAGCAATAGCCAAAAATACATTGTATGGGTCAAAATTATTGATTTTTCTTTTATGCCAAAAATCATTCGGATATTAAGTAAAGATCATGTTCCATGAAGATATTTTGTATTTTTCATTTTCATTTTTCAAAATAATAATTCCTGCAACTTTTGCTGTGACAAATTTCATTTTAAAGAAAACATGAGCAATTGTACTGCACCTATAAAAACAGCTAATCAAGTGCTTTCTTGCATTTGCACAATCAATGTGAACTAATGGATAAACGTGATCACCTTTCATCTCTGAGAGAAAAGTTCAGCCATATGAGATACTTTTATACCATGATTATTGATTTTGCTCAATGTAATGGACTTTCTTTCTACTTCCCAATGAAATAAGTGATCAGCCTCACTGGATTGAAGACATTAGGAAAGCGGAGTAGTTTTCATCATCACTTAGGAAAAAATTTTTTTTATATGTATGTGTGTGTGTGTGTATATATATATATATATATATATATA